TCTACAGTAGCTGGGATTACAGGGATGAGGCACCTCTTCCAGCCTTTTGGTTTTTTTTTTTTTTTTTTTTTTGAGATAGGGTTTTCCCTGCATATCACAGGCTGGCCTCCAACTCATAGTGTGATCCCAGGCTGACTTCAGACTCCTGAGCCTCCTGCTTCTTCCTTCTCCAGTGCTTGGATTACAGGTGTACGCCATCCAATCCAGCTCCATTTTGGGACTATCAGCTTTTTAAGGACCACACCTGTGCTCCATGAGGCAAAAAAGAAAACCCAGGGAATTCACTCACCTACTTCGTTGTGAGTTGGGTCTTAAGTTCCCTCAGTGGTTTACTTGTTCACTCGACCTTTCAGAGTCTTATGAGACACATACAGGCATAGGTATATACATACACATACTACACACACACACACACACACACACACACACACGTATTTATATATAAATATGTGTACTGTGTATACCACAGATACATAGATAACAACATGTATAAGCCATTTATGTATATTACATGTTTTTTTAGAGAACATCTTGCTGTGCAGACCAGGTTGGGACACCACCAAGCCCAGTGTGTTATTGAGACTCTCCTATGACAAAGTACCTGACAGAAACAATTTACAGGAGGAAAGATTTATTTTGGCTCATGGCTTCAGAGATTTTGGCCCATGGTCACCTGGCCCCATTGTTGCATGTCTGAGGTGAGGCTGAAAGTATGGAGGGTGGGGGGAGATCAGGGCAGAGCCAAGCTTCGTGCCTCCTGTGGCTAGGAAGCAGAGAGAGAGTACCAGAGGGAAGGGGCTGGGACAGGATGCACGCTTCAAAGGCATGTTCTCAGAAACCTGTTGGCTGGTGCTGGGTACATTCAGGGAGTGTTCACTCTCCACCCCCACCTCCCCACCCACCCCTTTACTGCCCCATCTCTGGAACTCCCCACAGGCACACTCAGAAGTGTGTTTTACTAATCTCGTAGACGTCTCTCAGCCCAGTCGAGTTGGCCAACTTTATCTATTCTTTTTCATTTACTTTACTCATAACCTTACAGTATTTTATCCCACATTCTTAATCTAATTTGACACTTGCATCATTTTTTTCTTGTCACACTGTTCACTATTTGTTCAACCTAATCTGTTCCATTCCCCTTTTTCTTTTTCTTTTCCATTCTCTTATATTGAAGCCAGGACCTCACATGTGCTGAATGGTTGCTCTGTCATAGCATAACACCTGTTTTTCATGACTAAGCTTCAACTTTGAAACACTCATTTATGACCACATTTAATAATGTTTATTGAGCCAAGTTAAATAAGGTTCTGAGAGCTAGAGATAATACATTAGTGTCATGTTGGCAGAAAATGTCTTGTGTCATGAGATGTCAGGACATCTACAGGAGGATTCCTTCTGTAGATCACTGATTCCAACTCTTTCCTTACATGGGTATAGTTTGAACACATGTATTTTGGAAGGATGGTAGCAATAGGTGTTTTGGGAGTCCAAAAGCATACCCTGTTCCAACCCCAGCCATCCCAGATGACTGAGTGAATGAATCTTGTTAGGGATTTGGTTCATAACACTGGAAGTGTTGTACAGTCTTTGCTATAGATGCTGCTTTTGTCAGCAAATTATATATTTTTCCTTTTTGGCAGCACTGGGGTTTGAATTTGGGGCCTCAAGCTTGCTAGGTAGGCGCTCGTTACTGCTTGAGCCACTCCACCGGGCCTTCAGTGCTGCTGCTTAAAAGTTGTACAGGTGGTATCCACAAAGCTTTATAGCTGTGCTCTAGGTAAAGGACTGGTAAGTAGAGAGCAGGTTCTCTCAGGGAAAGGGTTTGCCAGCCACATCAGAAATGGAAAAGACATTTTATTTTGGAATAAGCACAGGAATAATCAGTACATATCAGTGAGCTGGTATAAAGACTCTGGTGGTACTGCTGGAAGTTTTACTGTGTACATCATTTGCAAATCAACTGACAACTAGTAAAGAGACTCTGGTAGTTGTTGCCTAAAGTGGTAAACAGGTGTTATGTTAGTTGCAGTAAGTTAAAAATCATTCCACCTCTATTGAACACTACTGTGACCTAGCGTTTTAAGAAAGATCATGGGGAAGAGCACAGATTAAAAAATAATAATTGAGTGCCATGAGATGTGTGTCATTTTGGGGAGTGTGAGCAGATTTTAGGGGGTTTAGGTCAGTATTCAGTAAACGTTGAAAAGGGATTTGTGAATGTGGAAGGCCCTGTCCTAGGTCGGTACTGGGTGTCCAAGACAGACAAGGAAACCAACACGGTAGACCAAAAACACCTCCTAGAAGAAGTGGTATCTGTCTTGAGAAGGGTAAGTAGTACTTAAGTAGGTGTTAGCGTTTGAATATGAAACATTCTCAACAGGCCTCTATGTTGTACACTGGTGACGCTCTTTTTGGTGATGGTAGAAACTTAGGGAGGGTGGGTCTAGATGGAGGAAGGAGGTCACTGGGCTCACGTCCTTGGCGGCTGTATCTTGTCCTGGGTTCCTCTTTCTCACCCTCTTGCTTCCTGTCCACTTTTAGGTGAAGAAGCCTCTGCCACATGCCCCTGCTCCCATGATGCTGTGCCTCACCACAGGTCCAGAAACAGAAGCGCCACAGTGATGGACTGAATCCCCTGAAAGTGTGAGCCAAAATGAACCCTTCCTTCTCAGTGCTGTTCTCTTAGGTACTGTGGTTGTCCTGACACAACGTCCTAACTAATACAGTGGGCAAAGGAGAGAGGGCGTTTAACCCAGGGAGGAAACAGACAAAAGTCACAAGATGGGAATGGGTGTGCTAGAAGGAGTTTGCCTGAATGTAGCTCCAGACGAGCAGTGGTGGAACAGATAGACAAGCTGCAAAGTACAGAGATGCCAGATCTTGACAGAATTTGTTAGCCATGTGAGGATCTTGGCTCAGAACCTAAACAGTGTTAAGTGCAGGCACAAGGAATTAACTTTGTCCTGGGATGGAGCAGGGTACCAATATGATAAAAGAGTGCATTAGAAAACATGAAAGGTCATCTCTGGTGAAAGGAACTGAAAGGCACAAACCAGCTGGAATGCCTCATTCCAAAGAAACTGGCCCTTGTTACTACCAGTTGTAAAATTCTCTTCCTGATTTATACCCTCCTTAGTCCCTTGTCGGACTAGTTTATATCTCTAATTTTCCTCACTGCAGTTTTCTTTGCTCTCATTATTTCTTTATTTTAAAAAGTAGCTCTACTTAGTTAGACGGGTTTGTGACCCATTTCCTGTCAAATGACTAAGAAGATCATATGTTAAAGGATGAATAGTACAGTGGTCTGCATTGAAATAAAACACCATCTTACTCTTGAATTTTCTGAAAAATAAGGAAAGAGAAGCCACAATGGTGGACATATAGTTTTATTGTTCACATAAGAGAATTACAGGCACATTTTACGTATTTGTCAGCCGAAATTCATCCTGCAAAATCTGCTACTCGCTTGCTAGACTGTTGTTAGGAAGCTGTTGCTGTAACGAAGATGTTTGATCTTCATATTTATCAGTTGACTTTGAATGTGAGGCAGCAGATGTATCAGTTATTGTGGGCACTGGGTACCGTGGGTTGCCTGCTGTTAGCTGGTTAGACTCGGAAACCTCACTGGTTGATAGGTCAGGATATCTAATTGGGAAAGTAGAAGGCACCATCATTAGTCCAGAAAACATGTTCTCTAAGTTAGGTAGGATGTAGTATTTAGAAGAAGAAGTTGTAACGAAATTCAAATTCACAATGTGGGCACTTGCCTGAGTATATAGCTGCCCAGTGAGTGCCTATGAAAAGAGGTCAACTGATTGAAAATTGGATGCTGATCTGTGACACTTTGTTCTGATGGTTTAGCTGAAATTGATGGAGGAGAAAAGTCACTTGTCCTTAGGTCGGTTGTGTTAGCAATTCTGTGACTGGAAGAAGGCTTCTTTATCAGAGGCACACTTAAATTTGTAGAGGTTGAAAATAAACTTTCTCTACTAGCTTCGTCAGCTAAACCAGAATTATGGTTATCCGCATTTCCCCCTGCTCTTAGGTGCTTCTTGTGGGGATCTGGAACCAATGGAGCAGTTACTGGAGAAGTATTTTTAATCCCAATTCTTTGTTTCATTCTTACTAAAAGCTGGGGACAGCCTTGTTTAAAATTTGGGTTACGATAGAACTGTAACTGAAACCAAAGGAGAACGTTACTTAGTGACATTTTATAACCAAGAGACAATAACAAGCCTACTGTATGAAATCACAGATTTTAGTTTCAGCCCATGCAGTGAATCTCATTAACCTACTTGAACCTCTTAGTATATACTTACTGGGAAACAGGCATTCAAATATGATCGTTCTTCAAGTGACTATACATGCTGTATATTTGTAGTACAGTCAGTACAACTGTTACTAAATCCCTTTATCCAGAGTTCGAATTTGCTAGCAAAATTTCTTAAAACCCTAAATGTTTAATGCTCAGTGTGTCCTTAGTTTGCAGATTAATTTGAAAAAGTTGATTTTAACATTAATATCATGAATTGATGTACAAAATAAAATCACATAATTAGTACATAATTAGTAAGTGAGGAAATGTAAATGAATACCTTGTTTAAGGTAGAGACTTCTTTTTCTTCTGCCAGGAAGTCGGCTAGAGAAGCAGATCTTTGAAAATTTTTCCGCATTTTACTAAATCCATAAAGATTAAGCTGTCGAACAAAACTTTTCATAATGTCAGTTTCAAATATTCTGAAAGGAGCCTTTCTTTCCAAAATTTCTTTCTTAAAGAGTTCCTCGTTAATCACTATAGAAGTGCCATCTTCATCCCACCAAATAGACTTAAATTTGTCACTGTTTACTGTTTTCCAAAGTTTTTTGGGAAAAGTCAGGGAAAGAAAGTCATTGTCGTCATCTGGTTCAGAGACTCAAAAAGTGAGATGTGGTCTTTTTATCAGGGAACCCTGAGACAGAGCCCGAAAAGCCTTTTCCTCAATAATAGACCTTAATTCTGAGTCCTCAGTGGATGTGTGACCACACAATGAAGATGTGACGGGGGTCTCTGAACCAGTGGACTCATCCTTGGGAGAACCATCTGGAGGTTCTAAAGATACCTGTGCCATCTCAAGTAAATTTTTCGTTAGCTACGCTTATCTGCATGGTTTTGAACACTGCAGCTTCACAAATGCTGCGCCAGTAGATCTGCACAGACTCACCTAATCCATCATAATGGTTCCCAAGCTGAGCAGCTATGACATCATAAGATGACTTCTGTCTCCTAGCAATTAATATCTAACATTCAGCCTAGTAGTTCCTTCCCACTGTGAAATCAATCCACTTAAAGTAAAATATAGACTGGTGACTTAACATGGTGTGTAAGAAAGATATTTTCAGTATCTCTTTCCCACAGAATCTTTCTGATGAGTCAGTCAGTCTCTCCAGTCTTTTCAGTCCCTCAAATGTAAGTTATTTTCTCCCTTGCATACACTCTTAGTAGGCTGGGATGAGGAACACAGGGTCAGACTATTGAACAATACCAGGAAAACGAAACGAAACAAAGAGTGAAATGCATGATTTAAAAAGCTCTGTTACTGTGGTGCACAGGCCTCTCCTCCCAGCTTTGCTGGAGAGCAGAGGCTTTGCCTGAGGTTGGTGCCAGGAAAAGGTGCAAAACGCTGTCTGAAAAACTAAAAGCAAAAAGGGCTGGGGTGGGGGCGGGGGAGGCGGTGTGTGTGTGGCTTAAGTGATAGAGCACTTGCCTTGACTTAAGTCCCCAGTACCTGCAAAAAGAGAAGAAAGGAAAAACACCATCAGTCTGAAACTGCAATCTGTGCAGAGGCTGCATAATATGGTGGGTCATAGAGCTAGAGAGCAGGTCAGTGGTTTCCTGACTTCCGGGGTTGGAGAAAACAAAATTTTAATGGGTAGGGGTTTTTACTGGGTGATGGAGATATTTAAGAATTGCAGAGTGGTGATGACTGTGCATCATTGTGAATATACTAAATGCCACTAAATCGCACACTTTAAAATGGGTAATTTTTATATTACGTGAGTTTTACCTTAAAATTTTAGGGAGCTGAGGGGCTGGCCATGTTGGTTCTTGCCTGTAATCCCCGCTGTTCGGGAGTTGGAGATTGGCCGGAACCTGATTTGAGGCCTGCCTGGGCAAAGTTGCTAGCAAGAGCCTCACCTCGACAGATAAACCAGGCGTGGTGGTATCCACCTGTTACCCCACAGGTAGGAGGATTGCAGTCCAGGCTGGCTCAGGCAAAAGCCTGAGACCGCCCTGTGAAAAACAACTAAAGCCTGAAGGGCTGGGGGTAGGACTCAAGTGGCAGAGCTCCTGCCTAGCAAGGGCGAGGTTCTGACTTCAATTTCCAGTACTGCCTCCACCCCCAAACTTCAGGTACTGGGCCTAGGGTTTATAGCTTAATGGTAGAGGGCTTGCATGTTATGTGCAAGGCCCTGAGTTCAGTCTCTTACCCCTGCAGACAACCTCAACAACGACAATAACAAAAGTCCCCTGAAAGAAAGACAAAATCATTTATAGTTAAAACAAAGCAGAATTAGTTTGCAGAATAAAAGTCCAATAGAGAGGGATATGTTTGACAGAGAACAGTAGAATGTTCTTTCCTAGGCAGGAGTCGAGTCCAGCTGGGACCTGTACTTGGAGGTAGAAGTCCTAGATTCAAATCCCAGGCCACATTGTGAGGCTCCTGTGACCTGTAAGGAGTAGTTTAAGCATTTGTTTCCTGTCTTCTTCTGAGGTTGTATTCTGGTTGCTCTGCCTTGCTGTTTCCTCCTGCCCTAATCCCTTCTCTGCTTTCACTGTGCCCGAGTGTGTCTGATCTCTAAATTTATCATCCAGGCTCCCTGAGCAGTTAAGATGGGCCAGTGGGAAGCATTAGCAGATCAGAAGGTAATGGGAAAGAGGAACAAGGCCTATTTTCTCTCTCCTTGAACTCAACCTTGCGCATAGTCCCTCCTGGACAGATGCGGTTCTCACAGATTCAGAAGTATTTCCTAGGTGTTGTTGAGAGCTCCTCAGTATTGCTGTTCTCTTGAGTCCCTCACCATCCCTTCCTGTTTTCCTTAACCCTCTGCACCTCTGTACCAGCTTCACTAGGGTCTGATCTTTGAACCCAGTATGCTGATGATTATTCCTGCTGAGATCCAACTGGTAATTGATTATGCATTGATTCTGATAATTATATGTGCAATATTATATGTGCATTTTATAGTTTTCAAGGCAGTAACTACGTGTAGATTCTTACTGTATTTAATTGGATGCCTTTAAGACAATAAACTTTATTGTGTGTCGTTAAGGTATACAGTCTGAAGGATGATATGAGGTACATTGTGGATGGTTTTGTGATGCATAATACTAACATCCAGTATTGCATGTAGTTGCATCAGCACACGGTTGCTGGTTTCTTTTTTAGCAAGATCAACTAAAAGTCTGGTCATCATGAATCCCAAATGCACAGCAGATTTATTTTCTGTAGTCCTGAGGGTACACATCACTTGTCTCATCCTTTAATTGGTGATTGTTTCCTTTGCTGTGCAGATACTTGTTCTGGTGTAGTTGCAGTAAGTTTATTTTTGCTTTACAGCCTGAACTTTTGGTATGATACCCAAGAGACATTGCCAAGGCCAGCGTCAAGGAAATTTTCCCCTGTGTTTGCTTCTAGTAGTGTTTTTGGTTTTCGGCTGTTACTGTTACTTTTAGGTGTTTCTGGTTAGTTTTGCTTTGTTTTGTCTTTTGCAGTTATGGGGGTTGAACTCAAGAGACTCAGGCTTGCGGAGCGAGTGCTCTGCCTCCTGAACCACTCTGTTTTCTTTGTTGTGTTTGGGGTAGGGTCTGTTTTCATTGGTTTGGCATGTGGAAATCCGGTTTTTCCAAGAACATTTATTGGAACTGTACATTCTTCATTGGTTCTTTTTTGAGGGGTTTGAACTAAGGGCTTGCACGTGCTGGGCAGGTGCTACTACTAAGAGCCAACTTCCCAGCCATTATTACTTGTGTTAGTTTTTTCAAGTAGGGTTTCCTGTTTTTGCCTAGGGCTGGCGTCAGACCACGATGCTCCTACCTATACCTTCCCACGTAGTCGGGATTATAGGGGTTTGCCACCATGCCTGGTTTATTGGTGGGTAAGGCACAAGGCTGAGGTGCGATCTTCTTGAGGTCTGGCTTCGGGGTAGCTGGTTCATCGACTCTTGTGGGTGCCATTATCAAAAAGCAGTTGACCCGGTATGTTTTGGATTGATTTATGGGTTCCCTTTTCTGTTTGTATTTTGTGTTACCGAGTTGAACATGCTTTATACGTTCCCGGCTCTCATGGGTTCACCAATATCCCTTTTGAATTTTATTCTTTCCTGGTTTCTTGTGTTTGTGGAGACTGTGTGAAACACTCACTAATTGTCTTCTGCAGTGTAGGTTTGTGTACATGAACTTCTTTAGCTTATCCTTTCTCCTGGAAGGTTTTTGTTTCTCCATCAAAATTGAAGGATAGCATTGTGGGATATAATATTCTTTAGTTTGCCGTAATTCTCTCTCAGAGCACGACATACTACTTCACGATTTCCCAGCTTTTAGGGTTTGTGCTGACAGCTTTGAGGTGATTGTTACATATTTATGTTTGTATGCAGGCTGCCATTTTTCCTTTGCAGCTTTCTTTCTGTATTCTTTCTTCTTCAGTCTTGGCATTTTAATTATATGATGTGAAGTTGTTGTTTTCTGGTCACGAGGGACTTTGTCTATATTATTATCTAGATTTGGGATATTTTCTGCTATGATTTTTTTTTTCCCCCCTTGGTGATAAAGTCCTCCGTCTCTGATATTCTTTCTTCTGCTTGTTCTTGTCTGGTAATATTACTGCTCATACTGTTTTTTATTTGATTTATGGAGGGCTTCATTTCTAACATTTCTACTTATGTTTTTGGTTTTCTTTCCTCCACCTCCCCCCTTTTTTTTTTTTCCTTCTTTTTAATTTGCATTACCTTGCTGAATTTCTCATCCATGTTGCCGACTTTCTTGTCTAGGTCTTAAATTCATTTGCTAACTTCATTTATCTGTTTATTTGAATCCTTTTTAACAGTAGACTTCTGACTTACCTATCTGTTATTTCATGCAGTTCATTGCCCTTGGATTTAGTGGTTGAGTTGTTGAGTGGTTTGGGCTTAGTTTTTTGTATTTAAATTTCTGTGCTGTGGTTTACTCATCTGTTGGCCTGGGTTTCTCTTGTACTTCCTCAGTTAGGTAGGGGAACCTACTGCAGTAACAAGGTCAACAGTTCAGATTTTTCTTGTTTCTTTTGTTTTTTTGCAGTTCTGGGGTTTGAAGTCAGGGCCTCACACTTGCTTGGCAGGCCCTTTACCACTTGAGCCACTCAACCAGCATAAACCAGATACTGTAGTAAGCAAGAAACAATTGGGAACCCTTACCTAGGTTGTATGCAAACAAAACTCTGGTTCCTAAGGGATGATCTGGGATCTTAACACTAGTTGAACATGGAAGAATTGGGAATTGAGTAATGTAAGGGATGGAGGTGGGAAAAGGAGAGAAGTACAAAAATAGGGATGGGGAGTTAGGTATAGGAAATAATGGTATGATGAGCACAGTATGGTTATAACAGAAATAAAGAATGGTTTGGAAATAAGGGAAAAAACAAACACAGCAAAAAAAAAAAGTGAAAGTTAAAAAGAAAAAATTGTGACAGAAGACAATTTTTTTTTTTAAAGGAACAAAACAGATTCTGCTTTAAAGGTTACATTTCTCACCGAAGAGAAGTTGTGATAGTGCTTGGATTATGTCTCAGTGTCCAGCATTCCAGGATTGTCCTTCAGTCTTTGGTTCACAAACATCTGTCCCTATTGTGGTTAGAGGTGTTCCTCTAGCTAGTGATTTGCACTCTGTAGGCGCTCTTGGTATAGTTGCTATGGAGACAGGTTCAGATGGGTGGAGTTTCACTTCTGGAGGCTTCTTGCCTGCCAGGCAGGTTTTTCCAGGACAGAGGTTTTTCCAGGAAAGAGGTTTTTCCTGTAGCTTCAGGTGCCAGCAGAGTTTCACAACCTGGTTGGAACAGGGAGGGAGGGGGGCATCGCCTTGGGTCTCCTGGTTGGCACACTCTAGGGCAATCAATTCTCTTTAACAAAGCATTTTGCTGTTGAATAGTGCAGAGGTCTGCTCGGAAGTTCACCACTGGAGCCCTTCAGTTGCGCGGAGCACACAGCTCTCACCTGTCTCACTCACATAGCTTAGTGTCTGTGAAGAATCTAAATCCCTGGCAGGTGGTTGTGTTCACACGGGTCTCAACTGGTGGCTGTCTCTGGTTCCCTTTCTCACCCTAGGAGGATTGAGTTGGACTTTGGACGTTATGGAGATTTTCTCTGATGCATGTGATTTTTGTTACTTTTGTTACCGGCAATCTGGGGGTGGCGTCAGGCTCTTGTCTGGAATTGGGATTGATCGGAGAAAAAAGGGAGTGTGGGGCAAAGGAGGGCTGAACGTGAAAGTAACTCCTGCAGGAGACAAATGGTCGTCTGGACTTGCACAGCCTGAGAGCACGGTCCTGTGGGATCTTACTTGGCTTTTATGTGGTTTGCGCCAGGCTGGTGGGAGAAACCTGGGCGGTTCTGTGGGTGGCGTTAGGGTGATTAGCAGATTTGATTGACAGCCAGATGGTGTAGCACTGATTTCTGAC